TTAAGTTTTATTGACATAAAGGATTCACTGAAAGTCATTTGTAATTTTCACTATATTTATACTGCATATAATTATTCTTGGGAAATCTAGTATTTTTTGTTGTAAAACAACCCCTCTTAATAATCTTTCAACATGTTTAGCAACATAAATTATACTTTGACAAAGAATTCCTAATCCTCAGTTTGGTCGCTTTTCGTTCTTTGTAAGATTAGGATATAATTATTTTGAGCTTCTGTTAAAATTGTGTCTGAGCCAGTCACAAAAAAAATTTTATTTTTATATCTGTACGACGAAAATTTATGCTATTAATAATTTAGCTAATTTTATATCATATTTCAAATTTATTCTTCATAATAATTTACTTTTATTACTGCTCTGTAAATAGACAACATTAAAAAAATTATTATAATTTTCAATGCAACCCACTGAGTCTAATTGATTACTCATAATAAATATAAGTTCGGTGACCAATGCGACACGGTTCATTGTATATAAATTCCATATAAGCAAAATAGTCCTTTGTTGCAAAAATTGAACATTTTTCCAAAATAGTATAAATCCATCTGCTGGTCTCGTTATTTTCACCGATATTTGTTTATGTGCTTATAAATACTGTGGTAGAGTAAAATATGATGTTTTTAAATAAATGTGCTCAAATAAATATGTAGTAACCGCACATAACTAATGCATTTATTTATTATATTACAGTTCACACTATATACCAACGCCCGTTCACACATTATCCAGCACAACAGCAACGACAATAGGTGCAACCGGAGTAGGAGCAACAACCATGGGCTTGTGCTCAAATCAATTACCGCCAACAACAAATATATCCAATGCGACTACCACAGCGACAGCATCAGCAGCTCTTGGTTACATTAATGGCATATTGTATATGGAACATGATGCTACTAATGCCACTAATACAACAAAACCTCCAGCACAACATCCAAATCCAAATTCACATTCACTTATACAACAGCAGCAACAACAGCAGCATCAACAGCAACAACAACAACAGCATCTACAACAACACCAACGACAGCGACAACTTAAGCCACCTAACATGGACAGCAACAATATGGTTCATGCTGAGTATAAAAATGACGTCGATCATAAAAAGGTTAGCGTTGACTATGACGATGACAATATTGATAATGTCGACCATGAAGATGAGACCGATTCGTTTGCGTCGATGGAAACACTTTCCGACAATGTAGCAATTTGGGTTGATGGCGAAAAGCATTGGATATCTGGTGTTGATTCAAATACAACATGTGCGGATTTGATATGTGCGTTGCTCAGTTATCAAGACGGTCAACAGATGTTTGCAAGCGATGCCCAGCCAATTGATGAAAGTGCTAACAAAAATATCAACAATAGCAACAATAACAGTAAAAGTAACAGCAGCAACAACAACAACAACAACAACAACAATAGTGATACTGCCGGTAACAATAGCAGCAATAATCCCATCAATCAATCAAATACAAATACCAAAGAAGATATAAGCAAAAATACGCAAACAAATACAACAAATACAACAAATACAACGAATACATTAAATACAACAGCCAAGGATATGAATATGAGTGCCGCTCCAGGCGTTAACCAGTCGTTAAACGACTACGTCATTGTGAAGCAACATCGACACTGTGAGGAATATTTGGACGGAAGTACAAAAGTTTTTGATGTGCTGCCAACTCGAGACATAACCGACAGGAAAGAGGTAATCGCAACATGAATATCCTTAAGTTATTCCCTTAGTTATACACATTGCAGTTCCTTTCAATAAAATTGTATGCAATATTTTCTGTACTCTTGCTGCATTTCAATTTTATTTTTACAACAAAAAATACAAGAAAAAAATCGAAGAACGAAGAACGAAGAACGTTCCCGCGTGCAGGTCACGCAAAGCAATTCAACTGAAATCTTACGTTTTTGGTTTGTATTCCGTTTAAGTAATTGCACGCACGCATCTGAGTGTTGAACTTCTTGTTGGTAGTTTGTTTCGCCTTGCATTTTATACCGCCGCAGTGTTTGCAAAAAAAAAAAATATGTATATATATATATAAAAACAAAAAATAAAATTTTTTGACAAGTCACGCAATTTTCTTTTAACTTTTTAACCACAAATTCCGTTCTTATTTCTTATTTCTGTTTAACATATAAATTTTTTTCAAATTCCACACTTAAGTGCGAACTTACATTGCGGCGCTTGGCTGCATCACCTCTAATCACAACGCAAGTCGCCTCCTTGCTTTCGACCGATAAGGATAGTGGCATAGCGGCAAGTCCGGTGGGTAGCGCGCGAAGTGCACGTTTTCGACGTCGTAAACATAAATCGTCCAATTGGTTGGCACAGAGCAATACTTTACATCCGAAACTAGCACAACGAGGCAATTACACAAACGAACGTCTGCTAAAAATTATACTTGCCCAGGATGAAACCATACATCGTCAGTTGTCACTGTTAAGGTAAGCAACACCTTTTCCGAGTTCTTGTTCCAGTCACAGTTGATATCAGTTGAAATAGTTATTTATGAATTTGTTCTATGTTTTTATTTCAGAGAGAAGGAACGACAAATATCTAAAATCGAAGAGGAGAAACATCGTGTGAGAGAACGGGAACTGGGTAAAAATTATCTACTTGAAACATATTTAAATGGACTCGATGAAGCTGAAGTTGAACCAGATTTATGTGATGGAGTAGAAATTTTTATAGGTGAGATAAATTTTATAATCCCATTTGATTTTGTTTATTTAAATTGGTGCTCAATGATAATAGAAAAATGTACCTATGTCTTAACAATCTAAAATGTATACCAAAACAACAAAAATTATTTAATTGTTTTAATATTTATATATTTTAAAAACTAAATTTAATGACCAAATTAATGGCTAGTATTCATTTATATATTTTTTAGTTAAAGTTAAAAGAAAAATTTAAATTATATATTTAATTATATAATTATAATATATATGTACATTATAATTATATATATAATCATAATATAATTAAATCATTATTATTCAGCAATACATTCTTTAAATTAAGTGTAGATCCTTGCTATACAGAAGAAAGAATAATATAAAATCATATAATAAATAATGCCTCTATAGAAATATGTACTAAAATTAACTATTAAAAATAACAATAATTAATTACTAAAATTATTCTATAGCTGATTTATGATTTCATTCTAATGTAAAACAGCAAGTGAATTTGTTAATGAATTTTCACAATTACAAACCTCCAAATTAGAACATACAGCTTTAGATCAGTTGGATAATTGGACTCTAACATAAGCTTCAAATTTTTCAGGGCACCAGTTTAACCAGTTTAAAAACTGTTTACGAATAAATAAATATAACACATATTTCCAATAGACTGAAAAAGCATACTGAGAATGGGTTTTTGGTGACACTCGAATATGCTGTATGATCAGCCAAAAATTCAATGAATTAAAAATAACAAAAATGTTTGTTGTTGTAATTCACTACTGTTTAAAAAGAATTTTTCTCTTAAAACAAAAGCTTCTATTAAGAAAATTAATTTCTTCGTCATAACTGACTTCAATTTTATTGCATCTGTTATTTAACATTTGATTTACTTTATATGAACTTAGGCTTCTTAGTATCAAGCTTAGGCTATTTAGTATTAAAAACAGAAATGACTTTTTCATTTAATTGAACTGATATTCCTTACTTCATGGATTTTAAAAAATTAATATTTTATTCAACAAAATTTTTTTATTTGAAACAATAATAAAACAAAGTGGATATACGTTTTTCATATTCAAAAATGATTGAAAAATGATCACTAATGGCACCATGGTTTTCCAGTTCAGATTAACGGTGAGCCTAATCCAAAATCAATGTGAACATAGGTATTGAGCTAAAGGGTAATATAAAATTTTATTATAATGAATATCATATTATTCATTATTGGTTTTGCTGTAAAAATTAAATTACAAACAATTCTTTTCACGTAAATGCAAAATACAATTTTTATTTATAGAATTTTTGCCCTTTCGTTTACAATGAAAATTTTCCCTTAAGTTTCTTGGAAAACTGCGTTGGCCGATAATTACAAAATTGGTGTTCACCAATCAATCAATTTATGCAAATAAAGTAGCGCAGTGAGGGCGTGAGAACATTGATTGATGCCCTGCTTTCAGAAATACAGTAGTGGTCTGGAGGCAAGGCTGCATTTCCTTTTTTGACCCTTTAGTATTATTAATCAAAGTGATTTTAATCAAATGACTAATAAGCAATTTAAAAAAAACATTTAAGTTCATAAGCCAATTTTGTGACAATGTATTTCGTGTTTCGAATAATTGACATTTTAAACAAACTTTTAATATTTTAATCTAGTTAATTAAATGTCAAAGAGTGTATTGCGTTTAATGTGACCCCATAAATATTTTAATTAGTCATAAATAATTGAAATGTTCAGTTGCGATATTGCAATGACGTTTTAAATATCCTTTTATTCATGTAAATACATTATTAATATTTTAAATATTTTTTCTTCCTGCTTTTGAATGGTTATTAAAGCAAAGGAGGTTGTTTCATGTCAATTAAAGTCATAACCTTATATTTTATATATTGTATATATAAAGTTTAATGGTTGAAAAGGTTGTTGAGATTAGTTGTTTGGGTTTGGCAGGGAAAAGTTATTCATTTGTAAATAATTTCTTTTTTATTTAAATATGCATAAAATATTTGTATAAATTTCAACGAAATAATTAAACTGCTAATAAATGCTACTTAGATTAGGTTCTCCTAATTAGCATAATAATGATCTTGAAACTTAAAATTTATTATGCCATTTCTTTTAATTATGGAGCCATGATTTGCTAATAAGTCCTCCCTTCTCCCTTCTCCATTTACAAATTACTGTAAATTACTGCCATTTAGAGAGCTTACATTTAAATGGAATAATTGAAAGAAATAACACTGAAAGGGAAAACTTTACAAACCTTTTCATATTTATAATAAAAAATAAAGAAAAATTGAAATAATTTTTTTTTAAAAACAATTCTTTATGCTGTTGTGATGTAACTTTTTTGTCAATGAAATATTAAGCAAAATATTAATGTCTTGCCAAATATGTTACCTTATACAATAAGCATTAAGAAGCCACAGGCTAAACTGAATACAAAGTACATATATAACCAGAAGTAAGTGAAATATAAACCTTGAAAATCTCTTCGTGTCTTTTTATTTTATGTTTATTTTCAAATTTTTTTACAAGATGAAGCCACATTGTGCATTTTCACATAAGCCAAAATATTATATACAATGCAGGATAACAAAAGGATGTCTTTGTAGAAAGCGCCCGTACGTATGGAGGTATGAATTTAAAAGGGATTCAGAGATTGTAGGAGTTTTGTGTTGTAAGTAACACAACAAAATAATGCATAAGGACGGTAAAAGGTAAAATATGAAAACGTAGAATTAAAAGAAAAACGAGCAGAAGAATACAGTAATAATACAATGTGCGCACCGGAAGTATCTGTTGCGAATAATGCTTTAAAATACACATTATCTTTATTTAAAGAAGACGAGCTCACATCCTACATCTCACATCCCACATTGCACAAAGCACAGAGCACATCGCACATGAAACAGATTTACTCTTCTCAAATTGTATGCATCAGACACATGATTTAAGTACAATTTTTCACCCTACAACTACAAAATGAATTTATTTCAATTTACTACAAACTTTAGAGCACCGAGAAGACAATACGCTCTATGTGTACTTTTAAATTAATCTTTTGTTATTAAATGCAATTTTTTTTAGAGTGTACATTTTTCATATCTTTTTCAAGAATACTTTTCGTAAGAAAATAGAAGAAAAGTTATATTGTTATTATCTAAAAATATATTCTTTCTAGTTTCATTTTATAATTTATTACCATCTCAAGATATTAGGTGACCTTCATAAAATATAATAGTATAGTTTAAATAGCAGTTTTGATTTAAATAATTTTTTAAAAGTATTGTTTTATGAAATAGTTGGCTTGTTGGCTGCAGTGGCAGGTCAGGTGATAACTTTGCATTAACCTCAACCAGTGATTTTGCGTCGTTTTGCTACTACAATCCAAGCAAGGAATTTTAAAATGGAAAGATACAGACTAAATCTATCCCATCGAATTAAGACAATTTCATAGGTCTGTCATATTTACCAATAAACAATAAATAAATAAGTTGACAAAAAAGTACTTCCCTAAAAACTCATTTCTTCTGGACACCAGAGTTTCCTAGTGTTTAATAGTTTCCTTTTTCTGCAGGTTTCCCTAGCTGCAAGAACTGCTAGAACATTATAAGAACATGGCAGAGAACTACAATGTAGAATTCACATGATTATTTTTGACAAGTTTCCAAGATCAAGATTTATTGTAAGCGAGCTATGTTAACTGAGTTATAATAAAATATTGAAATAGTTTCATATTTCAATAACTTTCTTGCAAAACAATTTTAACTATAGTTCTTTCTTTCTTTGATTAAACTATTTTAAATAGAAATGAGGAATAGTGAATGATAACAATGAAATTTTAATTCTTAATTAATTGAATTTTTTTGGTGTGTAGCTTTTACTATTTACCTCGTAACTCAACTGAGCACCTCCAAATTAACGAAGGTCGGTCCACAGCGATTTTCGTTCAATGATATCGCTTGTCGCTTCTTTTTCTTTACTCTTACGAGGACATTAACTGAAGACCACCATTATAAAGGATTGCCCCCTATAGCAATTTGTGCTTAGTGACATTGCTTGAAAATATTATAGTTTGGAAACTGGTGTTCTGCATAGTTATATAGTGGTTCTACACAAATAGTAAATAATGAAACCACATATTTTTGAATGAATATATTCAAAAATATTAAACAGTTAATGTAAGTTATTATAATTTCGAAACTTTAATATCTGAAATATTATCTATTTTACTTAATAACATTCTCCATTACTTACTGTAATAAATTGAAAATTTAATAGACTTTAATTTTTCTACAACCACTTTTTATGATTTTAGTTACACCATCACCGTCTTTCAAAATTGATTTTGGATCAATATTTCAAACGAATTCTTTTAAATTTGAATACAAACGTCATACATTGAAACTACTCAACTTTTTTATTACATCAAAATATTACTCTTTTTTACTGCATAAATTCTGTATTTAAATCAGATATTTTTTATTATATCTGTGTCGACAGCAATTCTATCAACCAATCCATTTTGAAAAACCAGATTAATTCTGCTTTTAAAGCGAAAAAAGTTTGGTGTTTTTAATTTAGTAAACTACACAAAATAAATTTACTTTTATCATCCATTTAATAGATAGATTATTTGCAAGGAAGAAATTGCAACCACAGCTGGGTTTATTCTACCCTTTTACACAGCAAGTAAGCTGCGATCATCCACATGATACATTAATTGCTTACAATAAAGGAAATATAGCCACAGGTGGGCTTATTGCACCCTATTTAAAATCTATTGGTTATTTTATTTTATTTTATTTTATTTTAATTTAATTTAATAAGTTTTTGATGCCGAATTCCTTTATGGTTCATCTTTGTTAGCTTTTATTGTTCAATCACCAATTGCTTAGAATAGTATAAAATTTGGAATTTAATAACTAAATGATTCACTGTCTTCCTATCTTTACAGTAATATTTTCATTCTTTTGGTTCAGAAATATCTAGTTTGTGTAGGTGGTAGTTGTGATTGTAATGTCATGTAGTTGTCATGTCTCTGTGAAGGATTCTTAATTTACATCTAGAAGATATATCACGTCATCTCTTCTTCTTTTTTTATAAAAAGTATTTTCCTTATGTCTGTACTAAGTAATTATAATTCCTTTAATGATGATATGATATCATATTCATCTTTTACTGCAAAGCCTTTAATTGGGCTGAATTCTATGCAGGGATTACCTTCTTAGTCTGATATCTTTTATTAAGTCCCATTCTCATATTGTTGCAATATGTATGAATTTTTTTATTTTAACAATAAATGTCTATATGTCTACTATGTTTCAATCTAATAGTAATTGCTTTGAACTTAGTTTCAACGCTTTTTAGCAGAATCACACATCCTGCTCCCATATCGAAAATGTTACTTTAAATAGTTTTTATCGAATCAAAAATTTTATTAAATTCTGATTCAATAATACTTACTTATTATTATTTCAACTATTTTTAATAAATGATTCTGCAACCATCATAATCTACAATAGAATATTTGAGGGCAATTACTTATGTTATATATAATACAATACAGTGCTGCGCAAAAAATGAAGGCTACTCAATTATTTTTCAATACACCAATTTCAAAGGGTAGTAACTCAAAGTACTAGAATGTTGTGCTTAAATAATTTTTTTTAAATGAAATACACAAAACTGATATATATATAAAAATATATATGCATATAAATAGCATACATTTTCTTTTTTATATTAATTATTTATCATTTCTAAATTTATTAAAACAAAAAACAGTAAAAAAAGATATTAGATATTAAAGATTAAAGATTAAAGATATTAAAAAATATCTTTCAGCTTCAATATATCTTTTAATTTTAAATTGTGTCGATGGAAATTATTGATTTCCATCTAATTGTTTATAATATTACTCTAGATAGATCCCTAGCCATTTGTGTAGTTTAAACTTGAACTTAAAGTGTTGAAATGAATTGAACTTCATAAGATTGTCAATAAGTAGTAAGGCTAAAAATAATGAAAACTATTTGTAAAGCATATATATTTTAAAAACAATATTGTTTGTTGTTCTTAATAATAATAAAAATGTAACCATAATTTAAGATGCCATTGCAAAACTTTTTCATCTGATACTTCTTCATAAGTATAAACTCGAGCTTTTTCCTTTAGTTACAATTTTGAGCGATCTTAAAATTATCACACTTTTACAATGTTTTAAACACATTTCCTCATAGTTGTTACTAAAAACTTAAATGAACTCGAAAGAACCACCAAATTGAAGACACACTCACATATAAATATTTCATAAAAAAAAAGTATGCTTAAACTTTCGACATTTCCAAACTTAAGGAACTTACTAAAAGGTAGAAATTTTCCAAACTTTAACCACATACTTCACAATTTACCCAGTATGTAGCAAAATCTGAACTCCTTAGACTCTAATTGAAGGGATTTTTACATTATGAATATTCAGAAGAAAATATATTACAAAATATTCGTAAATTAAATATATTAAAGTTGTGTAATATAATATAACTTTAATAAAAAATACAAATAAATACAAACTATTTAAATTTCCCTTGTCTCCTTAAAGCGAAAAAAGAAGAAAGGGTATTCCTACCTCTATCCTTGGGTAAAAAATGCATAAAATTTAATTTTAACTGCTTAAACAAACTTAAACAAAAATTTTAGTTATGTTTAAATATATTTCAAACATAATCACTATAAAAAATTAAACAAAAAAATCCTTTTAAATTCCCACGTTCTCCCTAAACCGAAAAATTTTCTATGGAAAAAGAGAAGAAATGCATGAAATTTAATTTTAACTGCTCTCTAGTCTTAAATTTTTAAACAAGTGCATCAGTTACTTCATTTTAAATAAATATATTTAATGTAAGTTTAATAAAAAATAAAAAAAAAACTCCCATTAAGTTGCTCAGTTTTTTGTCAAGTCAAAAAAAATGCATGAAATAAAAGGTAGAAAATGCATGAAATTTAATTTAAAACTGCTCTCTTACCTTAAATTTTTAAACAAAAATATCGTTCCGCACGTATGGATCCTTAAACCATACCAGAACCATAGCAGACAAACAGACAGACAAATAAAATAGCAGTCAAATTGACTTTGTTAAGGAAACAGATTGACCCTTAACTTTAGCTTTAAAATTTTATAACTTGCTTAAGTATTTTATGTTCAT